TGTGTTCAATCTGAAGTCCAATAAAGTCTTTACAAATCGGGAAATCGGGAAGCAAAATTTTGGACAATGAGATTGATTTTGATCAATGTCTTGTGTCCATAAGATATCTTGAAGAACGAAGGAATAGTTGATCACTTATCTTAGGGCCAATAGCTGATTTGAATCAGAGTTTGGTATAGTGGCTTTGGAAAGCACCCTGTGCTGTTTATTTCAAGGTCTATACTTGGAATTGTAGTTACAGAATTATCCAAGTAGGAGACTATTGGATTAAGGTGCTTAAGCCAATAAGTAAATTGGTATATTCTTGAAATAGAAGCAAAGTCCTTTTGGGTTGCCCTCAAAACTAGTATTTGGATAGAATAACTTTTGGAGGAAGAGGCTGATTTGTTAATTTATTATATGATTAATAAATTAGTTCGAAATTAAAATAAATGATTTATCAATATATTATATGATTAATATATTAATCGGAAATAGTAATAATTAATTTGGAATTAATTTGAATTAATTTTAGGATTAATTAGAATTAATTAGAAGTACAGGGACTGAGCTGTAATTGTTTAATATTTGAACAAAATAAGGTTTCTATAACATTCTAGATGTGGCCGAATTTTGGCTAGGTCGTTTAGGGTTTTAGGATAATCCTATTGGATAATTAAGGGCTTGGATAATTACTAATTTGAAATATATTATTATATTGCTCAAATTAGGGTTTCAGGGGTTCCTTATCAGCTATAAATAGGGCCCTTATAGATTTTTGTCCACCACAACACCTTCTCAAGAGCCAAAATTTTGATCAAGCCTCCTCTCTCTTCAACTTTTCTTGCTAGTAGGGATTTGGGTTCAAGACATTGGAGGCATCCATTCCTTTGGTGCTAACTTTCAAAGATCTAGAAGAAGGATTCTACTTTGATTATTTGCAACAATAATCAAAAGGTATGTAACCCTAATCTAATATGAATTTAGATTTCATAGCATCTCTCCTAGGGTTTCTTGATATTCATAGTTAGTTTTTATCAATAGAGAAAATATAGATCCTTTCTAGTTTGCATGTAAACTTAAGGGTTTAAGTGTTTTTCCGCAACATGTAAAATTTTATAATCTAGAAAACCCAATCAGATCTATCTTTGTGGGCCTTCTTGGATTTCTTGGGTTTAAAGATATCCATTCCATGAATCACGGGCCTCTTTGATCATACATGGTGACACTTTTCAACCTTTCATTCTTTCATTTTTTGAACTGGCTTAAACAAAATATCAATGTATTGTTGGAATATCTGCTTAACCTGTCGGAACATTAGATATACATCTAAGTTATCCAAGACTTCCTGAAAGTATGGAAAAAATGCTCCCATTATGATGTCAAAAACATCTACATAATCACAGTGATGCCTCCACCATGTATCATGTTCAGCTCTTCTGCTCAAAGCAGATAGTTTAAGAATAGAGCCTTTTAAGAATGTTATTATTTCAACAAGTGAAATATGATGCATGGTTACGAGATTGAATTTTGTTTTATCTATAAAATTAAAAAAAATTTATTTAGTATTTTCAATATTAAATCTTCAATAATTAACACCCTTTTAGTTTTTAAAAAATATTGATTATCAAATTCTAGGATCCAAGTTGCAAAACAAAATAAATGGTTAAGTGACCTTTATCCCATTAATCTGAATCCAACTAGGTAGATATTGATTATCAATTATATACTAGTATATAATTCCTAGTTTTATGGGATCGCTAATAAAAAAAGTTTAATAGACATTTTTGATCCCATCTATGCCTCATATCTCTATTGCTTTGCTAACATTTATCGCAACAGATTTCCGATCAAATCATCTAGTTTGAAGAACTTGTGTAATCAACTTATAACTTAGTTATAGAAATCGCGAATACATCCCGACCATCAAAAGATATCATATAGTAGTTAGGTGACCTTTATCCCACCAACGTATACAAGAGATTTGTGAGTGTTATTCAAATAAGATTACATAGATTTGAGGTTTTTAATAGGTCTTTGATATTTTATAATTCTAGCTTAAAAAACATATTATATCATGGACATTTCATGAATCCAATAAACTGTGGTATATATATATATATATAGATATATATATATATATATATATATATATCTATATATATATATATATATATATATATAGATATATATATATATTTATTTAAACTCATATTTTAACACTTTCATTTAAAATCACATTTTAACAATGTTCTTTTATAAAATCCAAATTTTATATAATTGACACGATCAAATTTTAAATTTAATAACTAGTATTAAGTTTGGACGTTTGAGTGCCTTAGAACATTTATAAACCTTTTAACAAAACTTCTTTTTTATAAAATAAGGGTTGAAGTTTGATAAGTTTACAAAATATCAATTTTAAACTTATATAATTGAAATACCAAAATTTTAAACGATAAAACTTGTTTTACTTTTAAAACTATTTTTACCATCTTATGTTAAAAGATCGATTTCATTAAAACCAAACTCATTGTGATGTTATTTATGTTCAAAGTATTTTATATATGTGAAATCTAAATTTAACAATAATAATACAATATCAACATAAATTTAAACAACACAAGCATGCAAAACATATGTGCATAAATCAACCATCTAGTGACATTTTTGTGAGTCATCACAAAAATGCCAAGTCTATTCCTAAAGAGACATTAAGGGACCAAATACATCTCTTATTGTCGTCATGTGCTCCACTTGTTTCAACACCTTGTAGTAAGTTTATAAAAAAATGATTTTATAAACTGTGAAACTTTAATAAAATCAAGTTTATAAACTTTTTGATATTCAAAATGGCCACCATCTTCGTTTTTGTTACATTTTTATAAAAATAAACTATTTCTAAACTAATCTATTACTTATAAAATAAACAAATTGACAACTATATATTTAATTATTACATACCATATGAATAAATAAATATTACAATCATTTTAATAAATCAACACAAACACAAACTCAAACACAAGAGGTCCATGGCTAGTTTATTCGCACACACACACACACACACATATATATATATATATATATATATATATATATACACAACACACAGAGAGAGAGAGAGAGAGAGAGAGAGACTCAAAATGATATAAAACAATATTTTGTTTTTGTAAGACAACTTTTGGTGACAAAAAATACATGTAAACTTTGTCACTAAAAAATAACAATTATAAAGCTGTGATAGAAAATATGTATGTATTTTCTTACAAAAAGAAAATTATCCATGTTTTCCAAAAACAAAAATAATAACATATTGCAAAAATGGCTTTGATACCAATTATTGAGTTACATTAAAAAATTATTCTAAAATAAATAGTCAAAACTATGAGTTTAGCAACATAAATAATTTTACATTCGAATAAACTAAAACCATTTTACCCATCAATGATCATTTTGCAAAACTTAAAAAGATTAAAAGAACCATAGAAAAAGAAAAGATAACAACCTTTGAAGTGTTTGGTTCCTTTTGACAATTAGAAAGTTGATGAAGATGTCAAACTATTCAAAGAAGACCTTCTCTAGAAGTATCCACCAAACAAAAGTAAACCACCATATATGTTAGTCTTCATTTGTATGTTAGTTGTTATACTTTTATACCACAAAATATGTAGCAAAGTCAAGCATGGAAGTATGACATGTAAGAAAGACATAGGAGTGTAAGATGCAAGACAACACTCCAACTCCACTATTCTTTTACTATTGGCTTTGACATTTTGAAAGAGTCAAAGTTGAGTGTCTTTCACACAATCTCTAACTAGCTAGTTACTTTGCAACTTAATGGTTACTCAAAATGTTCAAAGTATTATACATAACATCTATAATCATACCATATGATATATCACTAGTTTTTGTTCACTTTATTATTATTTTCTAGAAACAATAATTCCTAATATGTTGGTAAAATTTTATTTTTATAAAATAATATTTTTCGAATTAAATATAAGTGTTGATTATATTTATTAATAATCAAATTACTATAATAAATAACCAGTTAGTAGTAACTTGCTATAATGTGTGACTAGAGGTGACAAATCGGGCCATCATGTTGTGTTTTTGTCTGACACGACACGACACGACAAAGTTTTATATAACACGAACATGATGTCGTGTTTTTTAACTAACACAAAAACGAACCAATTAAAAAAAGATAAACACGGCGCGACACAACAAAGATAACATAATATAACAATTAATTTATTTAATTAATATTTAATCATACATAACACGAAAAACACGAAAAAACGACAAACAAATGCTAAATAATGTCAATTTTGTATCGATTTTTGAACACGAATACGATACGACATCATGTTTTTTACATTTGACATGAACACGAATTCGAATTTCAGTTTTGTCCCAATTTCGTTTTGTATCGTGTATTTTTGTTGTGTCGTGTCATCATTTGCCACCCCTAGGTGTGACTTTATAGAATAATATGTCATTATTAATATCATTCTATAATGATTCTTCGGTATAAAGATCTTTTATATATTAACAATGATATACACAAATTCATCTCGAAATAATCTAAACATATTAGACGGAAGGGCGTGGATGTGGTAAAGGGTGCAATTTGTTCTTCCTTCCTTCTGATTTTGGTACAACACACCCGATATGTGGCAACATACCGGTAAAATAAGGTGAAGATGTAGAAATATGAGATAAAAAGTCTTTACCATGATAGAACCATGACATGACACCTTCTAACCTTAGGCCATTTGTTCCGAATAGCGAATAGTAGTTTCAACCAACTTCTTAAATTGTACTAATTATGGTTGTGTGTTTATTAGTGAGACGTCTTCGCCCTTGAGGAACGAAAAAATGATGGTGGGCGTGACAACAACATGCCATCATTACCCACGCACATAAGGCATTATCCTTCCTGAACCGATACGACACCGTTTGCGACGTAAACGACTGGTAATTCAACAAAATTCTAAAAGGGATTTGCCAGCTGGCCAAACTCTAACAAATCCGGAACAATCTTAGTATAAATACCAGAGTACCGGAGAGGTTAGTGCTCATCGTTGCACAGTCAATTCAATCAATCGTGGAAGCTTTACTCAATTAACCAAGGGCTTGACTGATCACCGACCGGAAAACACATATACCGGTTTCCGAGGACTCTCATCAATGGCTACAAAAGTGTATATTGTGTATGTGCTCTCTCTCTCTCTCTCTGCACGATGATCTCGTTGTTGCTAATAGGTGCTTTTTTGTTCGATATTACGCAATTTGATTTAGTCGATATGGTCTCAGTAACGATCGGACGACTTTTTTAGTGTTGTGGTTGAAATTTGTTATGAGATCGGTTGTCTATGGTTGTAATTATATTATTTTTCGGTACCGCTAAATTGAGAAAACGTAGTATAGACGACCGATGATCTGTGTTTTTTTGCGAAAAATTGCAGACTGAAATTAGACTTAGATGTGTACTTTTAAGTGCATTGAAATTATAATTTGACCTTCGTAGAGTAATTTTTAATATCGCGTTGACTTTGTGGTACTGGCGATTGATGATATGGGTTTTAGCTATTCAGATCGGTTGATTAAAAATTATAGTTTCGTGTAGAGTAATCTTCAAAACCGCATCTGAATCTGTAGAATTGATGATTGACGAGATGTATTTTAAGTGTGAAATTGAAGACAGAAAGTCGCACTAGATGTGCACTTTTGAGTGCATTTACCACTTAACATTTCCAAGTGATAGCCTGTTAAAACTTGATCTACTAGATATATGTCTTTATAAATTAGAAGCATGCTTATTTCAGATAAAGGTCTCCATCTCCAGTGTGGTTAAAGACTTCTGATGTTTTGCTAGAAATGATATTTTGGTGCTTCTGTGTACTATTCTATTGATGTGATATTTGATTGATGATGATATAAAACCAACTAAACTATTCAACTATAGTACAGGAAACAAGAATGAAAAAGATTTTTTTTAAGAATCGGAAATAATAAATTAACTTAGGTAAAAGACTAAGATACAGTTAAGCTTCTTGATTATAATTTATATTATTGCTAGTATAGATGCTATAGTCCTACCATTTAAAACTTCTGCTTTAAAATCTTACATGATCCCCTACATCTATCATGGTATATCCACATTCATAGCCTTGGATTGGAAATGCTAATAAGATACATGTAGGATGTATTCATTGTTTTGGGTTGTTTGTGATAATCTTTGAGCAAATATAAATGTGTAGCCAATACATTATAACCAGGACTCCAGGACATTCATGATGTATGCAATACAAGATTACAAAGGGGGTTCTTGAGGTCAATAAGTATTAAAGGGAAATAATGTGGGCTGCATTTTTTAGCTGCTGTTCATGAGTCAGTTATGTTTAATTCCAGTTATACTGCTCATACTGCCTATACCTACTGGTCTGCAACATTCTTGATGCCTTGAGAAAGGAGAGAAATAGCATAAGACAGTTATAGGAGGGATGCATAGAGAAGAGAAAGAGCTGTTCCCTTTTGTGATTCAGGGATAGAGAAAAAGTTGGTTTTAGGGCATGTCAAGCAAACTATTAGATCATATAATCAGAATCTTCTTTAGTTATCATCACAAATAAAGTGTATGAATAAGAAAAAATAGTTTATGATATACTCACTACTCAGGCCAAAGGTCAACATAGTTGTTACTTAAAGTAGCAGAGGGCATAATTTGTGGATGGGGGGCTTATTATCAATATCAAGGACTGCAATAGGGTGGTCCAGAAGACTAGAACTTAAATTTGATCCTATGGAAATAGCACAGCTTCCTAGAGAAAACTATTCCATCCATTTTAAACTTTTGATTATCGCCAAATAAATGACTATTCTGATTTATAGACATGATTTGTATTGAACAGAGTAGTGATAATCAATAACTTAAGATATAGAAATTGGACAAAATGACTTGATAGGTTTAGCCAAAAAAAAAAAAAAAAAAAAGTTGTCTTAATTACCTATTGGGTATTTGCCCCTGACGTTAAAATTGATGAATATTCTGAAACAAACTTTATTGGAAATTGGAATGTAAGGGTAAAAGTAAAGAGTTGATTCTTTGTTGTGGCAATGGCAGGTACTACTCCATGTATGGACATGTAGAAAAGCTGGCTGAAGAGATAAAGAAAGGAGCTGCATCCGTTGAAGGAGTGGAAGCCAAATTATGGCAGGTAATTAAAATCATATTTAATTTTAATTTTTATGTTTACGGATTTATGTATCCTTTGTGATGTGCAGGTGGCAGAGACATTGCATGAAGAGGTGCTGGGTAAAATGAGTGCACCTCCTAAAAGCGATGTACCAATAATCACAGCAAGCGAACTCTCTGAAGCTGATGGATTTGTTTTTGGGTTCCCCACCAGATTTGGTATGATGTCGGCTCAATTCAAAGCATTTTTCGACTCCACCGGTGGTCTCTGGAGAACCCAACAACTCGCCGGAAAACCCGCCGGTATCTTCTACAGCACCGGATCTCAAGGCGGCGGTCAAGAAACCACCGCGTAAGCACCCAAACCACCATCCCACAAATTACAATTATATATTTTTAATTTAAAAAAAAAAAAAAAAACTTTTTTTTTGTTAGGTTAACGGCCATCACTCAGTTGGTTCACCACGGGATGATATTTGTGCCGATTGGGTACACATTTGGAGCTGGAATGTTTGAAATGGAGCAAGTCAAAGGTGGGAGTCCTTATGGTGCAGGGACTTATGCTGGGGATGGCTCTAGACAACCATCTGACCTTGAGCTCCAACAGGCCTTCCACCAGGGCAAACATATTGCCACCATTACTAAGAAACTCAAGGGACTTGTTGCTGCTTGATCCTTACATCACAAAATATCAAACCAAAAAAAAACAAAACCATAATACTATTTTAATTTCTTTTCTTTTTATACCATCTTCTATATCATTATATCATTATCTTTATCTATTTCCGTTTCTATTGTCATTTCTGATTGTAAAAGGCTTCTTTCTTTTGAAAAAAATACAACATAATATTTCTATGGCTTCTTGTATCTCCCTCACATAAGGACCCAGCTTCTTCACATTTACCACTTTATCATATGTTACCAATTAAAAAAAAGGATATGTCACTGACCTAGCACGGCAAAGTACTCTCCGAGGGCATGGAATGTCTCATTTTTTGGTAAGAATCTCCCAATTAAAATAAATTGCTTCAATCTGATTAAATGATCATTTTATCTTTGTTCAAAACAAATTTTATAACCTTCTTCAGTTAACATCAGATGACTTGAACCATAAAAAATACAAATAGGTAAAGACTTGTCATAATAATCCATTAAACCACTTTTTTACACGTTTGTAGCCCAATGGTATTTGGTGTTGGTGAAAATATATCTCTCAACCAAATGTTGAGGGTTTAAGTTTTCTTGGAGAAAAAAAAAATTTAGGAGTAATGTGAGTGTGTAACCAATAATAGCTCAAAAATAAACAACCTTCAGACTTTTATAATTAAGTAAAAAGAAACAACCATATACAATCCTATTAAGCTCTGAGGAGTGAAAGGGCAAACAGCTTGACACTTCTTATGTGGAGCTCGACATACCGAGATTACGCCCCCCCTCTTATCGGCAAGAGGCAAAAAATGCCTTGCTCCACACTTGCTCACCGAGTCTCGCTCCTCTTGGCAAGTACTTGGCTGATGTGGACAAGGTTTTGGAGGAGATGACACTCGACAATGCCGACACAACTCCTCCTAGCCTTAAAACAATAACTCAAAAACAAATATGAACCTATGCTATCATGAACGGGGTTTAGCGAGTTAGTTTGGGTAAAAGAGAAAAAAATAGCTAGAAAGAAAAATGCAAACAAATTATAAGATTTCTCAAATAAGTGCTTATAATCTAAAAGAAAGGGAAATTGAGTAATCTAACCACTTTTTTGGTTGTTTTTTTTTAAATAACCTTTTTTTTTGGGCAAAATGACCACTTGATCCAGAATGGCTTGTTCTGTAACGCCCGTGTTTCTAGGTTAGGCATTAATATTGACGTAATAGTCTAGGTTAACCTTTGTAACTCATTTTGAAGAAATGAAGAGGAATTATGTGATTATTATGTGTTTTATGCTTAATTATTAGGATTTAATTAATTAAGAATAAAAATGAGCGTCGAAAATAAATATTAGATAAAGCTGATATCTATTAAGAAAGTTGTAGTGGTCGTGATAAGGATTCCGGATATATAAAGAATACCGAAATCCGAGTTATAACGAAGAAGTTATGACCTGTCGAAGTTTCGCGACAAAACCGGCACGGCGCCGAATGACGTAAAAAGTGAGTTTTTGATAAACTACTTTTTAGCCTTGGCGATCTAAATGAAAGTCGTAGTGTTCGTTAAACCGAGAGTATGCATAAAAAGAACACCCAAATCTGACTTCGTATAAGGAAGTTATGATTTTTCTAAGTTTCAGCTTAGCGGTAGACAGCTAAAAACTCGAATTTTAGATCGAGTGATTTTTAGCCGACATAACCTAAACAAGAATCGAAGGTCTCTTCAATAGTAGTACAACGGTAAAAAGACAGACGAAAACGGACGTCGGATGAAGAAATTATGAATTTTTAACGGATTTTCTGTCTCGGTCTGTTAAAAATAATAATATTAAAATTAAATTAAAAATTAGCCGACGAAGTCTAAACGAAAGTTGTAGAGCGTAACTTTACCTACACGTGCATATAAAGAACGTCAAAAACGGAGCTCGTATGCGAAAGTTATGGATTTTAGAAATTTGGGGCACAAAAATCGAGAAAAATCCCAAAATCCGAGAAATCGCGCATGGTCCGGAATAGGCCACGTCACCCTCGCTCATAGCACGCCACGTGTCCGAAATTGCTGAGTCATCCGAGGCCAGCTGGCGAGGCGTGTCGCACCATCCTTGCACCGAAGGATCGGCCAATCAGAAGCCGCCCCGTCCCTTCTCCGTGTCCGATCTCGGTGAGTCATCCGAGACGCTGGACCAACCCGAAGCGCACACCTGTTCCGACCCTCGCATCCGAGCCTCGCCCTTCTGCCGTGTGTACCGAGCCTCGCAGCTTCGCAGCCACCTGCCCTCTTCTTCTTGCTTCGGATCCGAGGCTCGCACCTATATAAAGGGTGCGAGACCTCCCGGTTTTGTTGGAATTTTGCCACCTTTTCACCCCTAATTTTACATTTTTGCTATTTCAACTCCCCCGAAACCCCGAGATCATTTCCAACACCCGAAACACGTCCCGAAGTGCCCGAGAAGCCCGAGAAATTTATCTTTTCGGTTTTGAAGCCCAACCCTCGCAGAGCCTGGTTTCTCAATAAAACTCCCGGTTTTTATTAGAAACGATTGTTTTAAAAAACGAAGTGCTGTCCGATTATCGTCTTATCAAGTGAGTGTATAGTCACTTTCATCTTACACATAGATATGAAGTATTTTATATAAAATACGTGCTATGTGTATATATGTTGTTTGTTTATTTGAGATGAATGTTGAATGAATGTTTTATACATGTTTAAAATGATTTAAAATGTATATATATTTTATCCTCAAATAAATTGGGTAAAACATGGGTAGATAAAGAATGAGGGATAAAAGTACAATATAGATATACGTTGGTAGCTATGAATTTAGTACAGTATAGATGTACGTTGGTAGCTATGGATTTAGTACGTCGGCAGGTATGGACTTAGTGCCTGTTGTATAAACATTGGCGACGATGTGACTTCGTGCCTGTTTGACATAAATTGCTGAGGAAAAGCAGTGTTGTCACTCCAATGTTTGTCTTGTTTGACATAAATTGCTGAGGAAAGCAGTGTTGTCACCTTATTGGTTGTCTTGTTTAACATAAATTGCTGCGGAAAGCAATGTTGTCACCCCATTGGTCGCCTTATTTGACATAAATTGCTGAGGAAAGCAGTGTTGTCATCCTGATGGTTGTGTTGTTTGACATAAATTGCTGAGGAACCCCCAAAGCAATGTTGTCCCCCTAATGAAAATCCTTAGGCTAGGTCCCTTGTGATAGTTGTTTTAGGGACGTAAAGTAAGGATAACAGGAATGGGTAATTAGGGTTATTTTTGGTTGATGAAATTAATACATTTATTGTTGATTGATGAACTTAATAAGTTTATTATTTATTATGGGTTGAAAACTCTATATGCTCACAGGCTCCCAAGCCTGACCCACTCAGCTTTTTATATTACAGGTAGTGGACCCCGAGCATAGTCGGATGATGATGAGAGATTTTTGGATTATATGCCAGTAGTTGTAAATAACTGTCGTAAGGTTTATAATGTCTTGTTTATGCTTTTGATCTGTATCAGAACATGACATCCCTAGGTTTTGATATAAAATGAAAATATATATTTCTTAAAGAAAGGTTTTGATAAATTTTATCATGTTTTGTTTTGAGGACAAATTCCACAACATCTTTTCAAAGGATTACTCTGACCTTATTTTAAAAGCATAAATTAAATCGGTCTTTTATGGCCGAGAAATTAGGGGATGTCACAGTTGGTATCAGAGCATTAGTTTAAGCGAACTAGGAATTTGTAGGATTTCTAGACTTAAACTTAGAATGCTAAGTGATGATTGTGAGATGAGTGTCTACCATATTTTAGACACGAGCACTAGTTTATTTTAGGAAAGATGCCTAAAATGCTTTTATGTGCTAAATGCTATATGTTTGCCATATATGCCATTATTTGTTCGGATCTATGGTCTGTTGCCGACCGGATCTGGAAACCTTATGTGTGTAGGATTCTAAGTGTACGATTACAATATTAGAACTAACATGTAAACGTTCGGAGTGATAAGGAGAATTTAAGTATCTATCGAGGAGAAAGATCTAAATTCGCCTTATTTGGCATATAGATCGAAATGGCAAGAACTCGAAGTGGAGCTGGAAATGCAAACAGAAACCAACAACCTCAACCCCAAGTGATGGAACAGGTGCCTATAGCAGGAGCTGCACCAGAACCCATCACCATGGCTGGAGTACAAGCCATGATTCAGACAATGATGACTGAACAAAGGGAGGAAATGAGGCAAATATTGCTGAACAACAGGAGTGAACCTTCAATTCCTGTTGAACAACCTGAATTAAATGACGATCAATCTGAAGAAGGAAACAACAGTAGATCTGTTGGTCATAGTGAACCGCTTGTGGTTGGAAGAAATAGCCACGAGAATAGAGTGGAGAGAAATGGATGCAAGTATAAAGACTTTATGACTTGCAAGCCATCAACTTTCACTGGAAAAGAAGATCCCGTCGGAGTAATGGATTGGATCTAGGAAATGGAATTGGCTTTCATGACATGTGGTTGCCAAGGCAAGTTACAAACCACATTTGCAGTGCGTCAATTCAGAGGTAGCGCTGCTCATTGGTGGAACACTCTGGGGAAGACTCTAAGCCCTAATGAGCCACTGCAACTGACTTGGGCAGAGTTCTTGGTGCAATTCAAGCGCAAGTACTGCTCGGCCCAAAATGTGCTTGAGCTAGAAAACCAATTCCTGACGTTGAAGAAGGGAAGTATAACCATTGATGAATACACCAATAACTTCACAGATAAAATGGAGTTTGCTTTGCGTATTGTCCCAGATGAGCTGACGAAAATAGACAGGTACGCAAAGGGACTTCCATGGGAGTATGCAGTGCCAGTGCGTCAAGCACTTACTTTGGAGGCAGCTATCTGGGCTGCCAAGTCTGTTAAAGATATGATTAAGGGAAAAGCCGCCAACAAGATTGAAGTTGGCGAGAAAAGAAAGTTTGAAGGAACTTCAGGGTCCAACGAGAAAAGAAAATTCTCGAAGTCTGGAGGAGGAGGAGGAGGCGAAGTAAAATGGTGCGAGAAGTGAAAAAAGAAGCACTTCGGGAAATGTAGCGAAGAGGTGACCTGCTACAAGTTTGGGAAGACTGGGCATTATGCCAACGAGTGTCCTTCTAACAAGAGGATGTGCTATGGATGTAACGAGGAAGGGTACATTTTGAAAGACTGCCCAAAGAAGAAAGAGGCAGCAAGGCCCAATGTTCCACCAAAACCAAAACCAAAGGCATTCCAAATGATCCTTAATGAAGCAGATGGAAATACAAGGGATCAGGAGTAAGGACCTTATATTTCCAAAACCAAGATATAAAGTAGCCATGCAGTTAGTAGCATGCGGTGTAGCCTATTAGAGGCATAGTATAGGGTAAACTTGAACCTCTGTGTAATCGTTTCAAGAAATAATATAAACCCTGGTTTTTTCATCTGATGAGTTGAATGACTATGTGAAATTCTTGTATGGTGACTTGGAGAAATACGAGACAATACTTGGGACGAGTATGAGTAGGTGTGAATGTGTAACGCCCCATTTCTGGTATGTGATTTAAATAAAGTAATTTTCATTTTCTTAAGGGATACTCGACGAGTCGGTAGCCCAACTCGTCGAGTAGAGACGGGATGATCACGCATTTTAAGTTGGCTACTCGGCGAGTTTATATGAAGGGACTCGGCGAGTCTGCCTGTCTGGATGAAGCCCTAATTTCAAGGGTTTGTACCCGATATAAACATCATTATAGCCTCCCACCCCAGCCTCCAACACCTTTAGAGCATTTCCCCTGTAAACCCTAGCCCCCATTGTTGAGCTTGAGTGTGTTTGTACTAGTTTGGAGGTTTTGGAAGAGAAAGAAAGAAGGAAGGATCCAAAGGAGAAGAAGAAGATCCAGAGTCTCTTGATCATCAGCCTCACATTCTGGTACTAAAGCTTGTACCTTGCTTGTTATTTCCATTTGATAGTCTTGTATGCTTAGATGTGCTTCTTTTTGGGACTTTTTGGATCCAAACTCGAGATTGGGACTCCTATAAGGAAATGGATCTTAGATCTGAGTATATTTGAGCTGTAGGAGCTCAAAGTAGCTGCCTTTATGCACCCAAGGTCGAGTTCCAAACCCTAAGACCCCATTGTTAGCTTATTTTGATGTTCTAGCCTCATTTCTTCATGCATGCACGTAAAGTTGGAAACTTTACGTGTAAAACCAACCCTAAGAGCCTAGATTTATGATTTGGAAGCACTGAAATCAATTAGAATCGACTGTATAGTAATAGCATGCTTGGGACTCGGCGAGTTGTTCTTCAACTCGGCGAGTTGTTCTTCAGGCTCGACGAGTGTTATTGCGACTCGGCGAGTCGCAGCCTGGACATGTTCATATGATGAAGGAGAACTCGACGAGTTGTTCATACAACTCGGCGAGTCGGATGAAGTTAGACTCGATGTATGTATCGAAGAAGAACTCGTCGAGTCTTCGCCAAACTCGACGAGTAGAAGCGAGTAGAGGACTAGAACGGATGAAAGGGACTCGGCGAGTTGGCGGCCCAACTCGGCGAGTCCGGTCAACTGGAGATTTACTTTGACCAGGAAGTTGACTTTGACCGGGGGTAAAATAGTCATTTCACCCCCAGTTTAGTTATCAGTATTTGATTGAGTATATTTATGGGAATTGTAGCCGGGGAGATACCGGAGCAGCAGCAGACAGTTCCCGAGTAGCTTTTTCAGCATCCAGCTTACGAGGTGAGTTTCCTTCCAGTAGGAACGGGTCTACGGCCACAATGCCGGCCTGTTTAGTTAGCAGTAGTTCCGGACTTCGGTCCGATGCAGTAGTCCAGTGTGCTTGATGTCTTTGTGATTCAAGCATGTCTTTATGTTATGTGTTCCGGACTTCAGTCCGATGTAGTATGCAGTATATGTGCTATGTTAGTAGTTATGATTATGCTATGCTATGTTCAGTCAGTTTCCGGACTTCGGTCCGATGCAGAGGGCAAGGCCCTGGTTAGTTCCGGACTTCGGTCCGATGCAGTTTCCAGACTTCGGTCTGATGCAGAGGGTAAGGCCCTGGTTAGTTCCGGACTTCGGTCCGATGCAGTTTCCGGACTTCGGTCCGATGCAGAGGGCAAGGCCCTAGTTAGTTCTGGACTTCGGTCCGATGCAGTTTCCGGACTTCGGTCTGATGCAGAGGGCAAGGCCCTGGTTAGTTCCGGACTTCGGTCCGATGCAGTTTTCGGACTTCGGTCCGATGCAGTGGGCAAGGCCCATTAGTTGTTTTATATGTTATTGTATGGTATATGGTAGATTGGGGGAACTCACTAAGCTTTGTGCTTACAGTTTCAGTTTTTGGTTTCAGGTACTTCCGCAAGTAAAGGGAAGAGCTCGGGATGATGGCATGGCACACACCACAGTTTCAGTTTTATCCTGGGAGTTTTATTCAGATATTTCGATATGATTGATACAGTATTTGTTTTGATACAGTTACTTGACTTTTGAGTTACTCACTCTATGGTTCTTAGTATGTATGACATTCGATGATGTGATTTTAGTAATATTAAAACAAAAAATTTTGGGTCGTATTTTGGGATGTTTCAGAATGGTAGTAGAGGCCTATACTACCGGAAGCACAAGAATCGTACTTGGATCAAGGAAAGTACAAGGTTACCAAGAAGCTAGAAATTGATTCCGTTTTTGTTCGAGTATTTCATTACCTTCATTTCGGTAATGACTAAGAAGATGATTGTTATTCCGACCCTAGAGGTCATATCAAATTGAGTCCGACTAAGATAGGTATGTTACGTGGTTCGGGAAAGTTGAGTCCAAGGTTTATTGGACCGTTTAAAGTTCTTTAGAGGATCGGGAATCAAGCTTACAAGCTAGAATTACCAGAAGAACTAGAGGGTATTCATAACACCTTTTATGTGTGTTATTTGAGGAAGTTCACGGGAGATGTGCCTGACATAATTCCAATTTCTGAATTAAGGTTGAATGAAAACAAGAGGTTAACTGAAGAACCAGAGGCAATCGTTGACCGTAAGACTAAGAAGTTGCGACGCAAGATGGTCGATTTTGTGCTTGTGCGATGGAAACATACGAATGGGCCAAATCTCACCTGGGAGACGGAGAGTGACATGATGAGTCACTACCCGTATTTGTTTGCTGATGTGTGATTCCGGGGACGGAATCATCCTAAAGGGAAGAGAATTGTAACGCCCGTATTTCTAGGCTAGGCATTAATATTGACGTAATAGTCTAGGTTAACCTTTGTAACTCATTTTGAAGAAATGAAGAGGAATTATGTGATTATTATGTGTTTTATGCTTAATTATTAGGATTTAATTAATTAAGAATAAAAATGAGCGTCGAAAATCAATATTAGATAAAGCTGATATCTATTAAGAAAGTTGTAGTGGTCGTGATAAGGATTCCGGATATATAAAGAATACCGAAATCCGAGTTATAACGAAGAAGTTATGACCTGTCGAAGTTTCGCGACAAAATCGGCACGGCGCCGAATGACGTAAAAAGTGAGTTTTTGATAAACTACTTTTTAGCCTTGGCGATCTAAATGAAAGTCGTAGTGTTCGTTAAACCGAGAGTATGCATAAAAAGAACACCCAAATCTGACTTTGTATGAGGAAGTTATGATTTTTCTAAGTTTCAGCTTAGCGGTAGACAGCTAAAAACTCGAATTTTAGATCGAGTGATTTTTAGCCGACATAACCTAAACGAGAATCGAAGGTCTCGTCAATAGTAGTACAACGGTAAAAAGACAGACGAAAACGGACGTCGGATGAAGAAGTTATGAATTTTTAACAGATTTCCTGTCTCGGTCTGTTAAAAATAATAATATTAAAATTAAATTCTAAATTAGCCGACGAAGTCTAAACGAAAGTTGTATAGCATAATTTTACCTACGCGTGCATATAAAGAACGTCAAAAACGGAGCTCATATGCGAAAGTTATGGATTTTAGAAGTTTGGGGCACAAAAATCGAGAAAAATCCCAAAATCCGAGAAATTTCGCATGGTCCGGAATAGGCCACATCACCCTCGGTCATAGCACGCCACGTGTCCGAAATTGCTGATTCATCCGAGGCCAGCTGGCGAGGTGTGTCGCACCATCCTCGCACCGAAGGATCGGCCAATCAGAAGCCGCCCCGTGCCTTCTCCGTGTCCGATCTCGGTGAGTCATCCGAAGCAGGTGAGTCATCCGAGACGCTGGACCAATCCGAAGCGCACACCTGTTCCGACCCTCGCATCCGAGCCTCGCCCTTCTGCCGCGTGTACCGAGCCTCGCAGCTTCGCAGCCACCTGCCCTCTTCTTCTTGCTTCGGATCCGAGGCTCGCACCTATATAAAGGGTGCGAGACCTCCCGGTTTTTGTTGGAATTTTGCCACCTTTTCACCCCTAATTTTACATTTTTGCTATTTCAACTCCCATGAAACTCCGAGATCATTTCCAACACCCGAAACACGTCCCGAAGTGCCCGAGAAGCCCGAGAAATTTATTTTTTCGGCTTTGAAGCCCAACCCTCGCAGAGCCCTGTTTCTCAATAAAACTCCCGGTTTTATTAGAAATGATTGTTTTAAGAAACGACGTGCTGCCCGATTATCGTCTTATCAAGTGAGTGTATAGTCACTTTCATCTTACACATAGATATGAAGTATTTTATATAAAATACGTGCTATGTGTATATATGTTGTTTCTTTATTTGAGATGGATGTTGAATGAATGTTTTATACATGTTTAAAATTATTTAAAATGTATATATATTTTATCTTCAAATATGTTGGGTAAAACATGGGTAGATAAAGAATGAGGGATAAAAGTACAGTATAGATGTACGTTGGTAGCTATGAATTTAGTATAGTATAGATGTATGTTGGTAACTATGGATTTAGTACGTCGACAGCTATGGACTTAGTGCCTGTTGTATAAACCTTGGTGACGATGTGACTTCGTGCCTGTTTGACATAAGTTGCTGAGTAAAAGCAATGTTGTCACTCCAATGTTTGTCTTGTTTGACATAAATTGCTGAGGAAAGCAATGTTGTCACCTTATTGGTTGTCTTGTTTGACATAAATTGCTGAGGAAAGCAATGTTGTCACCCCATTGGTCGCCTTATTTGACATAAATTGCTGAGGAAAGCAGTGTTGTCACCCCGATGGTTGTCTTGTTTGACATAAATTGCTGACGAACCCCCGAAGCAATGTTGTCCCCCTAATGAAAATCCTTAGGTTAGGTCCCTTGTGATAGTTGTTTTAGGGATGTAAAGTAAGGATAACGGGAATGGGTAATTAGGGTTATTTTTGGTTGATGAAATTAATAAATTTATTGTTGATTGATGAACTTACTAAGTTTATTATTTATTATGGGTTGAAAACCTCAATGCTCACCAGGCTCCAAAGTCTGACTCACTCAACTTTTTATATTACAGGTAGTGGACCCCGAGCATAGTCGGATGATGATGAGAGATTTTTGGATTATAGGCCAGTAGTTGTAAATAACTGTCGTAAGGTTTATAATGTCTTGTTTATGCTTTTGATCTGTATCGGAACATGACATCCCTAGGTTTTGATATAAAATGAAAATATATATTTCTTAAAGAAAGGTTTTGATAAATTTTATCATGTTTTGTTTTGGGGACAAATTCCGCAACATCTTTTCAAAGGATTACTCTGACCTTATTTTAAAAGCATAAATTATATCGGTCTTTTCTGGCCGAGAAATTAGGGGATGTCACATGTTCCGGACCCGATTTCAAATTCGGTTAAACGGGTAGTAATTCCGACTCGATAATCTGGTTCTCATATAAATACCATTTAACATGTTTCAGACTACATTTCGACATCCCTTGTTTCAGACTACACTTCGACATCCCATTCCAGACACCTCTACAACTGGCAGTGAAGAAATGCAATTTTTATTTGTAAGTTTCAAATTTGTTTATAATTAAATGCATTTATTTTTTATTATACGTTAAAAAATGTTTATTTTACGCAATTATATAGGTATTATAAGGTTTTCTGTGAATTTTAATCTTGTTAAGGCAATTATAGGATTACATAGGCTTATACATCTATACTACATGATACATCGTAATTAAAAACCCTAATTTTTGCTAGTCTGAAACGTGTTCAGAATCCGAAATCAAGTTCGAAATCCGAAAATTATGTCCGGAGTACAATGAACTGGGTTAGAATTTTGGTCCGGACTTTATGGTCCGGAATACCGTACCCGATTTTCGGATTTCGGAACAGACATACAAAAATCATAATTTCAGAATACAATAAAAAACCATAATTCCGGACTTTATGTCCCCAATACTTTCTTTGAGTCTTGATAAAAACCAAATCCATGACTTTCCACTTTCAGTTTTTCCAACACCAAATGCAATAGGAAGGATTTGGTTATTACCATCCATGCTTAATGCTAGGAATATGGTGCCCAAGTATTTCCCTTTAAGGTGTGTGCCATTAATGATAATAATAGGAAGCAAACATCTTTGAAACGCTCGAACCTAAAAAGTAATTAATAATCTAATTAAAGCAAACACATGTATATGAACAATAAATATAAAGAAGTAGGTATATAAAATATATTACCTGCTGTAACACCTTGTCCCGAATCGTTCCCATTTGGGTGTGGGTGATATAATTTAGATGATCTGGGTTTTCGGTTTGTGTTTTGGAGCCAAAGGGTATTTTGGTAATATGTCAGCTCGGGCTTTTATGGGAATTGGATGTTTGTTCGGGAAATTGTAAGGCAAGTATGAGTTGATTAAAGCGTAGATCTTCTTGTTACCTTTAGGTGGTTATAAGGGTCGTCGAAATCGGATTTACAATGAGAAAGTTATGGCCTTCGGAGTATATTGGGGTTTAAGAGGAAACCCTAGTACGCAGAGCGTACCTAGGGAGTACGTGGGGCGTACTGATGCGAAGGACAGTACGCGAGGCATAATGTAGTGTACGCTTAGCGTACTATGAGGGTTGAATCGGGGGTGCAAGACCTCGTAATCGTTGGGAGTACGAGGAGTACGCGGGGCGTACGAGGTGTAGGTGAAAACCCTAATTTTTGATGTTGTACCCTATATAAGCACATTAAGTCTTTAGGGCTGACCTCTTTACCAACCTCCAAGTTCCCAAAACCCTAGAAATCGTCCCTTAGCTGAAAGATCAAGTATGCTTAAGAGTCATATTAAAATGATATTGCTAAATAACATATGATACTAAGGGTCACACTAACAACAACTTGATGCAATTGATTATTTATTAGAAATTGATTCGTAAACTCTTATAATAATAAATTAGGAAAATATTTATTTCATGGAAATAACTATTTTACAATACAAGTAACACATTATTTCAAAAGGTATGAATTAATAAGTCATGCACAACTTTTTGTACTAGTTGAATACTTTTGTCTTTTACCTAAAGACAAAGTTTATATTTTATAAAACTTGTGTTTATAAAATATAATCTCCTTCTTTATTCTTTTAGTCAAAATCGTGGCTTCTTACTAGGGTAAGAAGTCAGGGTCTTTTGATTAAAATAAAGAAAATTATGCATG